AGAGATATATTTTCTGTTAAGCCAAAGCAGCAATATTCAAACTAATTAATATGACAGCCAGATGTTTATTTGTTTGGAGACCTCCTTCAAAAGGATTTTGTTTTTTAAAAGTAGACACAGGGGAAAAATTTTTTTTACATTTGCACATTGTGTATTTCAAAAAAAAATTTCTGTACAGCAACTGCAAATTTAATTAACAAATAATCCACCTACTTTTTTTGCGCAAAGAAGTTGATATTTTTTTGTTGGTTTATACTCGTAAAGCGGTAATTTATACGCTATAGTTACCAAAAGAGAATTAATCATTTGTTTAACTGTAATTCGACATATAAGATACATTTTTACGTCCGTCTGTCCGTCCGTCTGTCCGTCCGTACGTCTGTGGACAAGATAACTCCCGAACGGTTTCGAATTTTCCAATTCTGTTTTCAGTATTTTGTTTATTAGTCATTTCATTTTGGCTCTCTATATCCATCGGCGTCGGGAAAAGTAGCCTTCCTTGCTTTTCCAATCGAGCGAATTTCACCAAATCTGTTCAATCTATAGAAGTCGTTCGGTGAGGAACTGATTAAGCTTCATTCACTTCAAGGCGAACGCTCCACGCTGAAAATTGATACAATGAAATAAAATAGGGATGTTCACAACTAAAGCTAGCACCAAAGAGTAATATGTACCTACTCTTTGCTAGCACTAAGCTCACGCGCATTCCTATTTGATTTCATTGTATCAATTTTGAGCGTAGGTACCTTGAGTGGAGGGTGAGAGTCGTCTTGGTGTGAAATATGCGTCCAGTCCCTCGAACATTTTTCCTGAAATGGGTTAGATAATGCAATGTTCTCCATAATTAATTCTCAGAAAATCGCCCTTTAGGTAGCTACAATTTTTGTATGAAAAACGCCCTTTCAGAATATTGCTAAAAATAATTCCGAGTCAGCGTTACTGCCAATTATGTATAATTATTAAGGATCCCCAGATCCTTTATAGGTTTGTATTGTTGTCCATCCGTCCGTTCGTCCGCCCGTGTGCGCTATAACTCTGTTTAACAGATCGTGTTGAAATTTGGCATACGGGTACTTTGGACATAAAGGTATTGATTTTCAGGAAGCTGGTACAACAGGAACAAAAGTTATAGGGCTCAGTATATTAGAAATCAACATATTTCATTCCCCGAGTTTGGACTTTAAATTATTCCCTATTACTCTTAGATGTGCAACAATTCAATATAACTCTTCTCTATAGTTTAGATCAATAGTTTTATAGCAAAACGTACCCAAAATTATTCTTTATACATGAATTTGGAGATGTAAAACCTTCCAAACGTATTAAACGTACGTTTATCTTGATGCGAAAGAGTGATGTACTTTTGCTCATCTGATAAATTTGATTGAAATATGTTAAATTCTGTTTCTGAGACCACATATATTTTGATCAAACATGTCAAAATCGTTATTCATCCCCCAAGATCGTTGGAAAAAAGGCTAAGAGTATTCTCTCAATGCCCAAGACATGAATTTGATACATTTTTTGTGTACCTACTATTTTATTTTACAAGGTTTATATACCTAAATGGGCGTTTAAAAAGTGATGGTAATACTGAGGATTCTTCGATATTCCGTTGTATCGGTTTATATTTTTTATCGACTCGATGGCGGCTGCTGGCACCCCGATGTTTGGGATACTCGCACAACAACATACAATATTGTAATTTCCGCATTTTTCAAATATGAAAATGTAGTATTACTAGCGATTTGTCTATGCACCTGACAGTGCGCCCGCGCACCCCCGGTAATGACCGCCCTGTTTTGTGTCACAGTTACAAAACATGGACTTTCCCATTATGTTCAGATCGTCAGCTGCACAGACAGTTCTGGAACCTGTAGGTTGTGCCACTTACACACCCCGATGTCCCATTGCAAGCGACCTAAAACGAGGGGTACATGCGCGCACTTGACTTATGTAATACATGTTTTATTTAATTTTATTGAGGAGACCTTATCCTCACTAAAAATATACTGTCACATCATCCCATGTCATAGAATAGATGATCATGCTGGATCTATCAAATGACCCTTTTAGTTTTGTGTAGATTGCACAACGCTTCATCGATAGAACAAACAAATATAATAACTATTAATAATACAAGAGGCAATTAGTAAGAATAGCAACAAACTTGGGTTATATAAAGGGGAAAAGACGGAACTTTATCTTGGGTTTTCGCTTTTGGTCAAAAGTTTACATGTTTACTAAGGTTCCATTTATTTACCAATCGTTTTTACTACCCGCACGTTAGTAAAGGGGGGTATTGCACTGGGGTACAAAATGACGGAAATACACGTTTTGAAGCACCAGAAAAGGGAATCAAACAAAATCTCAATGATGCCGGTCGATCTGTTTCTCTGAGAGCTGAAAAGCTTTTGGTCACAATCGCGCATCGAAAGTGTGTCACAGTCACAAATAACTGTTAATTTTTGAACGTTTTCCAAATCATGGCTACACAATCCCATCCAATTGAACCAAATTTGGTACATTTGCTCTATAATCACTTTACTAAGAAATTAAGAACTGAAATTCATTTTGTCAAAATCGCGAGTGCGCAAATAATTAAAAATTATGATTTTCTGATTTCACAAATAATTGTGACTGCGCTTTCCTGAGACCTATAATTACATACAGTGCATTAAGAAGTAGGAATAGGATTTATGTGTATTGTTTTTCCCTATATCTACTTTTGAATGACAAAATCTCTTCTGAAAGGCGCCTAATTTTATGCAACCAAAAAAAATGAAAATCTGGCTGTCACATTAATTAGTTTGAATATTGTTGCTTTGGCTTCCGTATTTATATTTTCGTTCGTGTGCGATGTATTCAACTAAAGAAAAAGTTGATATTGTCAATTGGTATAGTGCCGGTAACAGTAAGGCGCAAGAGATACATTTTTTTTAAGCCAAAGCAGCAATATTCAAACTAATTAATATGACAGACAGATGTATATTTGTTTGGAGACCTCCTTCAAAAGGATTTTGTTTTTTAAAAGTAGGGGAAAAAATTTTTTTACATGTGCACATTGTGTATTTCAAAAAAAGATCTGTACAGCAACTGCAAATTTAATTAAAAAAAGATTTAGATAACTTTTTTGCGCAACGTGCCTTTTTAGTATAAGTGACCTATAATGGACTGAGTGAGCAAAAGATACAATTTGTTGTTCTCGAATCATTTGTTTAAAGCCGCTACAATTTGGGAAAATTTTACTTTCCAGTTTTAAGCGATAAGGTACAAGAAGTGGAGCGAATATTTGTTGCGCATAAGTTATCTATAAGTTGCAGTTGCGCGCTAAACTTGAACAGGTGAGGTGTTTTGTGTAGGTACTTCCTACGGCTTGGCGAATCGAATTTGGTGAGTTTTTAATTATGATATTAAAGTCCTTAGCGTGTATTTTAACAGTTTTTCAATTACACTATTTGTGGAATAATGCTAGAATACGAGGAACAATTTCCACGGTTACTACCGCTATTTCAATCAGTAGAAATTATACCTACGCTTTTTATTCTGGGAACTTTAACACTCAAAGCAGAATTTTGGATAGCTATGACGTGACGTAAATTCAAAATTTGTAATTATTGATAGTATAATTAAACCAAAAACCTAATCGGAAGTATACCGTAGCATTATACTTTCTTCCAGAGTCTTTGAATTAAACATGCAAACAAGTCACCAAATGTGTCGCTAAAGATAAGGACGCATTAGTCATTAACAGATGTTCCTAAAATTGAAGACAAATTTAATTTTATTGAAAAACACGTTCATATTTTAAGTTACCCGATTTTTTTAAACAACTATCTTACGCAATGGGAGTGCTTCAAAAAATGTAAGGAACCGAGGCCGGTAAAAAATAATCCACCTACTTTTTTTGCGCAAAGAAGTTGATACTTTTTTGTTGGTTTATAAGGCGGTAATTTATACGCCATAGTTACCAAAAGGGAATTAATCATTTGCATTAGCTGTAATTCGACATATCAGATACATTTTTAGTCTGCTTTTATACAAAAAAGCAAGAATTATGACCAATGAAGCGCACTCTTCGAGTTGTTTATTTTAAAAAATAATTTGCCAAGTTGGAGGAGATTTTAGCATACATGAATTACACTTGAACGTGTCCTTGTTGGAAAGTGTTTTGGCACTAATTTGGCGTTGATGCGGGTAAAACAAAATTCTATACTTTTGCCGATTTGCTCTCCTTTAGCTTAAGTTGGAGCAGCGAAGTGCTCACAAAACAGGCAAGTACTGCACCTCCTCGACGATTAAGAGCGACGTATCACTATCATTGCTGTCTTTATACTTGTACCGTAAATAGTTGTAGCACTAATTTTATATTGCGCTTTTGCTGATTTCAATTTTTAAGTGCTAAACCGGACCCTTATATGCATTTGGCTCCCTTGTGTCCACTACTGTCGCCCATATTTGCAAAGCAATTTTTACAATGAAACCTTCACCATAAAGCATAGCATGTAGAAGATGTATGACGATCAATTAATTTCATTGAAATCGCATGTTGCCCTTTATTTCATTTTTTAACGGAAATCTTTTCTTTGTTTCAGGATCCAGAAGGGCCGTCTTATAAAGGTAGGATTTTTATCTTCTTATACCGTGCGCACGTATATTATCAATGATATTTGGGGAAGTGGAAGATGAACGATTCATTTTAGCTGATTTTTTAAGTGAATTGATGCCATTTTCCCAGTCAATAATTTTGGTCACGTACGTTTAACTGCAATGATTTTTTAAATCGCCTCTTTCCGCGGAATCAATCAGTTTGCCTCATATTAATTAGTATCTAGGGTACTTGTGAAATGAATAATATTATAGGCAAATATAAGGTCGCTCGTTATGTGTAATTTTTGTGCCGAAAGTTCTGAACCTTTCTTAGATAATTAATTAAGACTGATGGTTAATGTATTCACTGTACAGATGCTTTAACTAATTGTAGTAAACTATATATTTACCCAGGTATACCTCCCGATTCCATGTGGTTGGCAAGGCGAACATCATACGACCATATATCAAATTGCCATTTTCTCAAACCCAATACGCCGCAAAGTACAGAACCAGAGTGCACCCCTATTCTCATATCCAGATTAACCTGGAAATATTAAGTTTTGCTTTTGAATCATCAGCAACGGGCTAATACTGTAAGTCAAAATAAGTTGCGCAATTTGCAATTACTGATTAGGGGATATCAAAAGAACTTCATACAGAAGATGCCTCTTTCAAATTAAGTTAAAGGGCATTTCAGTGATGGGTCACACATAACGTATGTGGAATTGAACTACCTACTTGCCTATTTAAAAGGCTTTGCCTTACCTGAGCTTTATGTCGAATATCCTTTATAGCTTTAATCATGTGTAAACCCATTTCCACGCAGCAGTGTGCATGATCTGCTCTAGGCGTTGGAAGGCCAGAAACACAGTAATAGCAATCGCCCAAAAGCTTGATTCTTAAACAGTGATTTTCCTAGAAACTCACAATGTAAAAAATGCTTTGAAATTCATTCACAAACTTACAGCGGCTAACCTGTCAAAGCGTGCGAAGAGATCGTTCAAAATCCTTACCAATTCTTGGGCACTACACTGAGTTGCCAGCGCTACAATTTGTCTCACTGAAGTGTTTAAGAGGAGAAAACTAATTCACCTCACCTGTAAATCCCTTGATATCGGCAAATAAGATGCTGACATTTTCGTGATGGTGAATGTAAATCTTATGAAACTGGTGCGGTTTAAATGTACCTCCCCTTTCTTCCTCCCTGGCTATATCCCTAATCATTTCTTTTGCAACAAAGTCAGGCAGTACTGCAACACAAACTCAATGAGTCCATCGCGAGGAAAATTCGTTTATCACCTGAAAGTAACAACTTTTCTTGACGATTGTTTTCATTTTGCGTACGAAATCGCGTTTCCATCGAACGATGTGTTTCCAAAAAAGCTTTTCTCTGGCTGCGGTCTGTTAAGTACTTTGTGTACATGCCGGCGTAATTAACGGCGATGTACAAGAAAATGTTTACTATTATTTTTGTCGTACTGCAGTTCTCAAGTGGTTCTCCATCCTCAAAAAGGGTCTATTAGTTTGAGGGTAGGTATCTCTACATTTACTTACTCTTCCAAAGCCATTCTTATACGCGTACAGTTTTATTGCCGTAACGATTATGTGCCCAACGGAAGTTATACAACCGGCTATCATGCACCAAAGTAAAGGTAGCGGTAGCATTGCGTAAGGTACGAAAATTATAAATAATATGTACCAAACCAAATCTTGCGTCTCGTTGAACCCTAGCGCTTTCCCAAAGAATCCTAAATGCGTAAAAGCTTATGGCATTGCTTTTGTTTTTGACATACTGTACCTTGAACGTTAAGTAGTAACCACGTGCAGACCGCTGCCCAATGTAGGTAATTGTTCGCGAAGCATCTCCAACAGCCCACAATGCAAACGCCTATGTTCGCTGCCATTCCGCAAATTGACCAAATTATTGCATCCGATTCTGCTGGATCGGACATAACCTCTTGTATGGATTTATTTGCCAATGTTATCCATACCACAAATAGTGCGAGCTGTAACATAAAATTGTAACTTTTTAAGGTGGTGGAATTAAAACTAATAACATTGATTTACGGAATCGATGTAAGTGCCAATGAAATATAAGTGGGCGCATAGCAAAACTATAGGGAGATGTCTGCGGGTTTAGGAGATAAATATTGTTGATGATAGTTATAATGTCACAATGGAATAAATACTAAGAGATACTTAATTTGTATAAATCGACGCGTTTAGCGGTAAGCGGAATTTGAGGCGAGAGAGAAGCTTTTAACTTCAACGATAAGAAGTGGTCACTTCTTTTGGCAATCGTCAAGTGTTACGTAGTAATTTTTTAATTAATTTTTTAAAATAATAAAACAAATATTTAGTTTAGGCCGTGGTGAAATTAATGCATTATCAGTTATTAGTTAGTAGGACTTCTTTTGACAAATTATATTGTGTAATAGGTCTATTAACTTTCTTTCAACCAGTTACATTTTCAACTTAAAAAAAGTTCACCAAAATCTTTTTAGCTACCATCATTATAGATTTTGTAGTAAAACCTCATCAGCTGGTTTCAAAAAATCGTCGGTTTATAAATCGAATCGATCCTTGTCTCATTAAATTAAAGCTTGACTCCTGCACTCAACTAAATCAACAGACAGAAAAAGATTAGGACCGCGTGTCACCCAATATTGAATAAACCCTCTACAACTCAAAAACTTTTGTAGCCCAATAGAATTTGAACAATCACATTTAGGTAATACAAGCGCGTGGGCAATGGGCATAACCTTTTTAGAAAAGTTGTAGGCAATATCTGTTATTAAATTCTCAACTGAATACAATTTTTTTGAGATTCTTACCATTTCTGTTGTGAGTTGTCAGTCCAAGAATGGCATGTTCTAGCTTAATCTTCAAATTTCGTCAAGATTATATTGCTTTTCACGCACCTTGTAGTTGTTCGTAGTTGTATTTCGAATAATTGAGAAATTGGAAAGGATGTTCCCACAAACCTATGAAAACAAGCCGATTGCTGGTGGTTCCCAATACCAAGATAACATGTACGAAAATCAAAAAGGCAAATAATATTTCTTGGGATCCGAATTTTTTTACATCTTTATGTTTATAACGCATGAAAGGGTGTATCTACAAATGTATGTAAAGCCGCTACTATATCTACGTTATAGGTCGCTCATAAAAAAAGAAGACATACAAATTTTGAGACCTTTGGAGAGGTAGTTCAAAAAGGAAATATTTTGGATGTCCCTAAGGTTTAAACAGGAATTTCGTCTGAATGAGACACGCCACTAGGATTAATTTTATCTAGGTTTGGCCTATCTAATATAACGGCCTACCAATAATAGCGCAATTTTTGTAACTGAAAATGTGGTGTTCACTATTAGTGGAACCCTAAACTTACCTTTAGAAGTAGATCGACCATGTTAACAATAATGAGGGATTTCTGTCTTTGTCGATGGGAATATCGCAAGTACGCGATTTCCAAATTTTTACTGTGAAAGTTATTATTCAAAGTTGGCCAGTATATTCCCTTATACATAAGTCCTCTCCTAAATAGAGTGTCGAGGTCGGCTAAAATTGACCATGTTATTTTTTACATAAAATGAGTACACGTATTTTCACCTACCTTGCATTTCTTTAAAGGAGTCTTCATCTCTCGAAATTGAATCGCTGCTACTATATTGAAAACTAGAGTGTCTTCGTCTAAGAACCACGTCATCGTTGCTTCCTTGCCATTCATTGTTATTTGAAGGAGTTAAAGAGTGATCCGCGTTAGGTGATGGATGGCTGGCGTTGGAATCCGTCTGTGCCTAAGTAAATTCTTTAGATTAAAGTGGTTTACAGGATTTAACCTACCTGTCCATCTGGAAGGTGATTGCGTTTTGTATTGTTGTTAAGCATTCTTCTCGCCCATGCACGTGCGAATCAATTTCTGCAACAATCAAACCGTAATTATTAAAAATGATGCAAGAACGCACAGATAATGAGGAATACATCAAAACATCATTCGTTGTTATCGGGACATTTATCTTCGCCATATGCCTATGAGAAACGCGTGCCAATTTAAAAGCATTGTGAGTGCGTAAATGAGATTTTCAGGTATTTTGAATTCGTTTCGGAAAACGCATTGATGGTAAAACACGATAGATTATTGAGCTACACGTTTATTTAAATTTTTTTACAAAATGGACGCATAAACTAAATCCATGCAAAGGTATACGAAAAAGTAGCGCGAACACGCGTTTTGTATCTCCTGGCTTAGGGCGTTAACCACCGAAGCCCAAAATCTAATCGCTTCTTATCTTATCAGTGTATACCAAAAATTAGCATTCTTTAATGTACGTGCAAACGGCCGGCCGCACGGACAGACTTTCAGACTTTTTAAAGTAGTGCATCTGATTTCAATTTCTCGTCATTTTGTAATCAAACTTAGATGAAATGAAAGTTGAAAGTTTGCTCTACGCGATTGTTTTTTCCATGACGCCCCTTTCTTTCTGAACACTCTCACGCCCCTCTTCTCTATTTAAGAAATAAAAACTGCTTTCACTACAAACAACATAGGTTAAAATTAATTAATTATTGATTTATTTTCAAAAAGATCAAAAAATAATTTGAACGTACCTTTAGTGATTTTGTCTCAGCTTTGTGACGGTGCCAAATTTTTAGGGCTCGCAGAATATTATGTTTTTCAATCAAATTGGATTTGCAACCATATCATGAATGGCTTTTGAGGTCGTTTTTAGTTCATTCGAGAACAGGCAACATTGTGCAACATCGGTGCTTTCATCACACTGAATTTACCGAATTCTACATACCTTTTTATTTGTGTTCCAATTAGTCAAATATAAATTTACATAAAAGTAAATAAATAGTATTTTAAAGGCAAATATTTACCTCAAACACTTCAGGGATCTCGCGCTCCACTTAACAGCGCTTTGCGCCCCCTAGTTTGGGAATGAATGGTAATATTGACCCGCGTGCAACATCCATCCATAACCCCTGAATTGGCTGTTGCTCCTATGAAAATATAAATGGATCACTTGCGGTAGAAGTGCTTCCACATCTCGACCGAACGTGATGGAAAATGACTGTAGGCAAACATTGAAACCGATAAGTACAGGGGTCCCCAAACTACGGTTCACGGGTCAAAACTGGGTTGCTAGCATCACCAGTTTGGCCCTGCACTGTACAAGAAAGCTGTATCTTTATCAATCGGTCGCACTTATACAAAAAATAATCAGAGGTTCATATAGATACAAACAAGAGATGGCACTAACAATACTATTTCAATATAACTTCGCATCATTTGACTGCTAAAGAGTCTGATGCCGGAATGACTGCAGGTAATTCAAGAATACGGCTGGAAATATAGTATTCTGGCCCTTAATCTGGCGCTAAGGTTGAAAAGTTTGGAAACTCCCGTATAATTTAGTAATCTCATACACCTTGCAGATGAACCTTACAGGATTGTATACGGTATAAGAATTATAGTTTTTGCATTCCCCTTGAGAAAACTAAGTTTTCTTTCAACAGTATACGTAGTAAATTTGAACTCCTTGTTCAATAATAAATATCCAGCGTAAAGTATAAAACAAAGTGTTATTTTCAGTATATTGTCCACCTTGGGGTAAGCAACACTTAATCAGAAAATAAAAGTTATGTGTGGCTCACCATACATGAAATTGATGACTCTGATTTAATAATTTCTGTCTATCTTATACTACAGTTTGTGTTGTGCGATCGTTATAAGAATTTTCTTTTAAATTTCGCATAATCCATTGAGAAGTTTTTGTTGCAGTCTTCACTTAAACTTGACGTAATAGGAAAAGAAGAATATTTTCGGTTAAAAACTAATTAAGTGCTATGAAAAGTTCAAAAAAAGGAGGACGAAGAGCGCTTGAAATAAATTGAAACACTTTTCCTTTGCATGCTATACAATGCAAAAACTTTGTATAAAATATAACAACAGCTGTATTACTGAATTTGCCTTAAATTCCAAATTTTAAACCTTACTAAAATTAGCAGGAATCGTGAGTGTTTCTGGACTTGACAATTTGAGATTTTAGACTTCTGACATGACCAGACAAGGAATTAAAACTTTCTTCATTGTTTCATTTCAATAAAACGCTGTTTATAAAGCGTTAACTGTCGGTTTTATAAAAGGTTGATCCCTTGTTTCTTATTATATGTAGGTGCGTATTTTAAACAATTTACTTTAACGACTGGTAGTTGCCTACAGTACAGACCATTTTTTACCCAACAGAACAAAGTAATTGAGGGTGGGTGTATATGCATACCTAATAAGATGAATCGAGAGATGAATGGATCTAACTAAGGAGATGTCAAGTTCACGAATATCGAAATGTTATATTATAATTGAGTCAATTTTTCCAGAAAGGTTTACGCAAAAGGTACAATCGCGTTCGTTACATTTAAACATTCTGTATAATAAAGACATAATATCTACCATGCACAACTTAAACACGTATAGGAGCAACGGGAACAATCAATTTATGTTGTGACCATTCATACGTAGTTTTTTTGGGTTTCATCACCTTTTGTTTAATTTTATTTTATTTTGCCTTTATTTTATTTTATTAAAGTGTAAACGTGATCAAGACACTAGGGGATGCGCTAAATTCATACAATAAGTATATATATATACTAATTACTATCAGTATCAGTAATGAGCATATGCTTATTATTTATTAATGACGAGTACATTCAGTTAAAGCTATGCATATTAAAATGTCTACTCAAGTGTATAACGGATATATAGAATTTAAAAAAAAAACGTGCACTACGTGCTGTTTTCTACAGATTGAAACATCGATTTGTAAGAATTTCCCACTTTCACGCAAGCAACCTTAAATTATACGCTTTGTGGAAACAAGGTGGGGGAGTGGAAAACACGACTTTTCCGGCGTGAAGCATTTAAAAATGATTCTTCATAAATCATAAGGTTGAATACTCTTAAAACATATCCATAAATAGCACTTTGATGTCGACCCCTACCTCGACAGTGGTTATTAAAGCACACAAATGCGTTTAAAATAATGTAAGAGGCGGTTTCCCTTTAGGAACACTCGTCAACTCGGGAAACTGCTGTTATTGAAGTTTGATATTGGTTTACGTATAGGTACTTATTTCGATCACTTTATGGAATAACGACTTTTTCCTTCATATTTTATTGACTGGCTGAGTTAGGTACGTTAATATTGGGTACTTTTCTGTCATGTGTCTATTACCTACTTCATATAAACTTCTTAATTACTTTTATACCTAATATGCGGAACATTGGCCCTCGAAAGATTCGCCCCGGACAGTTCGCCTCCGAAAACTTCGCCTATATGTTTCTCTTTTCTACTGGCAATACTGGTATACTCCTTCGCCAGGAACTCGCTTCTACTCAACTTTTTAAAAAAATACGATAATAAGACATTGATTTTCACCCCCCAGGGTAGTCTCGTGATTAGTTGAGCAATTTTGCAAAATAGTCCTTACGAGAGGTGGCGTAGCGTCGATGGTGGTTACGTTACTTTTCGGAAGACGACATTGTGCACTTCTTGGCGAAGATACTGCAGGTAAATTTTCTGAGAGCAAATACTCCAAGGGCAAGTTTTCTTGGAGCCAAATCTTTCGCGCGGTGACTATTAATTCCGCCCGGTAATCTTCGGGAGGCAAATCTTCAGAGGACGATTTTTTTCGAGGGCGAGTTTTCCGGGGCAACGCTCAGAAACGATTTTGAAATCGTTTTTTAACGTTATACCTTACATGAATAATCCGTTGATTCCTTACCACTTCGATGCGCAAAATTGTTGGGTTTCTTTTCTATAGGAACGCCTTATGTAATACAGTTCGCTTGCTAAACTGCATCGGGAACAAACTGATAGGCTTCAGGTTTCTCGAAATTTGGTAGTGGAAATTTGCTTTACTCAATGGAATATTTGACTAAAGCTCCACAATATGGAAATGTTAATTTTACCTTTCTACACTCAAGGTTTTAACAGTTAACAAAAAAGCTAATTAATGGTCTTTAAACTTTTTTCCGCTACATAGCCGGAAGTCGGGTGTTCAAACCTAGCCTGAGGTAAGAATTTTTCATCAGTGACAGAGATGGGAATTTCCTTAGAGCAGTTTTGAGCATTCTGCCGGCTATTCTGAATTAGGTTTTGCTGCAATTTTTCCACTTCGTAAGGCTCTACATTTCTAAAAAGTATTATACGGGTCACTCTGTAATTGGGCGCAAGTCTGTTGAAGGACCAGAACAAAAGAAAATAAATAAATAATAAAAATTTGTCGATATTATCGGCTACTGACATTATCGATTATCGATATTGTCGATTATCGATAATTGTTTATTATCTGTACTGTATTCATAGCGGCAGGCAATTCACCACGTTTCGATTGGGTTGTCGAAATCCTTTACAGGGTCATTCTTGACGAGCGTCAGTTAGAAAGATATGGAGAACCTTTGACAATAAAGCTAAACTGATAAGTCTCTTAAGGGTTTTGGCACATGATGAATTGAACTAAAATATTTTCAAGATGGCGCCACTTCCGCAAATACCGGAAGTAGCCATCAATTTTGATATTTTAAATACGTCGAATTTGGATTATTGTGATTATTTAGTGACGCATGAAATTGATTCACCACTGCTTTTAATCAAATGATATTTGATATGTTACCAACATTATAAATGTTAAGTTTTGCGGAAAATTCAAACTGTGCTCAATTATTTTGGATCACCGGGTATATCCGCCAATTCAAAAACCCAAAACGGACCCAACACAAACCCAACTTCGGCTACTTTTTTGATTCATAGCAGAAGGTCCCACATGCTCCGCTAGAACGGTCTTTAGAACCGGCAACACCGTGGAGTGTTGAGTCTTATCTGTTTGCCTTATCTGAAAGTGCTTCATTTTATTGCATTTTAGCTCCGGTTTCTATCACTATGAAGCGATACATGTATAAAATGTCCTATACTGGTAAATTTGTAAATTCAAAACCAAATCTTTGCAAGCCTAAAGCGACCACCTGTTACAGCACCCCCTCAAAAATTTAAAATTGAAAAGGAGTCCGTGTGGCACATTACTTGAAAGGGATGTTTGTGGTCATTAATTAATGAAAAAATTTAAAATGTTGATAATGTCTTAATCGCAACCTCTCCGTCGAATGATGCAAATGCATTTATTATTTAATATACTCATATTTTTATGTTGAATATTTAATATAATTGCAAAATAAATTTAAAAATATATTAATTAACAGATAAATTGCAATAAAAAACACCTTCACACCTTTCCCCAAAAGTATACTACACGTGAAATACACGGGACAGAAAAAACCACTTTAGAAAATGGACCTTATGCTTTATGCGCTTAAACGCAATTCAGGAATGAGCATTTGTACGAAACAAAGAAGAAATTGTCTCACCTACAAACTTGTAACTATTATTTGTTGAAAGATATGTGCATTTGAAGTATTTCGCTAACCTTTTTAATAAATAATTCAAACATTAAAGGCGGCGGGCTGGCGTAACAAATGATCATGACGTGAAGATATCTGCAGAAATCTATTTGCAATAGATATGTTTGCAAATAAATCATTCTCATCACTTTCTCTAGACTTGCTCACTAATTCACGATATCTTTTAAAAGAGCTGAGCTTGTTGAATTTTTATATCCCTATTTTTACACATTTGTCAAAGTTGAAAGACTTACGCTCTTGCTTTCCTATAGGTCAGTATGTTTTTCAGTCGGATTCAGATTCGCAATTAATTTTGACATAATCTGGCTGTGAGCTCATTTATTTATGAGGTAGCCATGTTTAGGTTTGTAATTAAGATTTATTAAGAAGTAGACATATGGATTTATGTCTATTGTTTTCTCTATGTCTACTTATACACGACAA